TCAGCAGGCTAAAGTTTTCTGCATTCGCCTCTGATTTTCACACACAGGCAAAGCAAAGTTCACATTAAGCTCGAATTGTTCCCTAATGTCAAACTGTGTTGGAACAGAGCTGGATTTCAAATAGTGTTACAGCAGAACTGACCCTACAGTGAGGCTTGAGAATTACTGCCTTAAAAATACATGTAGTGGGGGGTGTCCAGCAGTTGGCATAATGGCTATGTCGTTGAACTCCCATGCAGTCGACTGCAGTTCGAGTCCCGGACCCGGTGGCTTAAACTCACACCTTCACACCGGGCACATGTGCATGCGTGCCCAAGATCCCAACAGGAAAATGGAGGAGAAGGGATTGCGGCATGGCCATCCCTCCTAGGGGGTGATTTCTTGCTTTCTCTGGCTCTCGTGCACGCTCTCTCTCTCTCTCTCTGTCTTTCTGACGAGCACATCTCCCTATAGCAAAAACCTCTCCAAAAAAAATACATGTAGTTGATGGGCCAGCAGGTGGCATGGTGGTTCAGATGCTGGACTCCCACATAGCTGACTATGGTTCAAGCCCCAGACCAGACAGTTTCAAAATCTTGCTGGACAAATGTATGTGCATGCTCAAAATCCCAGGAGGGGAATAGGGGAGAAGGGATCGCGGCGGTCATCTGCCCTCGGGAGGGGTTGGGGGGGTGATTTCTCACTATCCCTCTCCCATTCTCTCTCTGGCAAGCATGAATACCCTATGGCAAAAACCTAAAAAAAATGTAGTTGAAACTCTAGTTATATACTTGAACTCAAGTTACATTATATGTGTATTATGTGACTACTAAATAATAAGCCTGGTTCACCAAAAAGTATTTTTCATTACTTATTTCCACATGTTATATGAAGCACTGCCAATATTTTGGCCCACTTTATGTTTAAAAGGTAAGCCAATATCTCCCTTCAAATAAATTGTGTTATTTGAGGATTATCTGTTTCACTGTACTATTTCAGAAGAGATTTGACTATATTTGGACAGGTGAAATTTTAGATGAATAAGAAAACATCAAGTAAAATTCATCTTCAGCACAGAATAAAACAAGTCTTCAAAATAAAACAGCTGTTAAACACATGAAAAGGTGTTGGCTTAGGCTCACGGTTAGAGAAATATAGAATAAAAACCCAGTAGCTATCACGTATAACCTATCAGATAAGCAAAAACGCGGGAGTGTGGCTGTGCACTCTGCCGCCCGGAGTAAGCAGGGCTGGTGCCCTCGGGTGTTCTCAGGGATGTGCAAGAAGGCACAGGGTCTGTAAGTGAAGTCCACAGGAGACATGCACAAAACTGCATGTTCACATTCTGACCTAGAAATCTGATGTCCAGGAATTGACCCTGAAGACATTCATAATAATACAAAACATGTCAGTACAAAGGTATCCACTGCAGCGCTATCTGTCCTTGAGAAATACTGTTAAACCTGAAATTCCATACGGAGTAACCTGGCTGAATAACCAAATATTCTCTCCACTAAGAGGAAACAGGACTCCTAGGGAAAGGATCCATCCCAGGCCTGTGGAACATCTTATTATGCCAAGAAGTAACGACGTGCTCAAAGGAAAACAAGGACACAGAACGTGCAGGTGGTTGAAAACCAAGATGGCTACCTGGGTCTCCAGCTCCCAGTACTCTCTCCAAAGTCAACAGGAAAGCACAAAAAGGGGGAA